GCTATCTCACTACTTTCTAATGGCCAAGTTGTTCAACTAAGGTTCTACGATCATTAGTGCTTTATGACACCACACAACGGCCCCATATTCTCCTTGACTAGACTCAAGGGACACTGGTACCAACAAATGTGTCACACTAACGTATCCATCACTTCAACCATGTCGTTATTATGCCGCATAGTCCTCACAATCTATTACTACTTACCTAAAATGCTTCAGATCCGGGTATAGGATCTATACAAGAAATAAACCTAAGCATAACCCAAAATGTAAAGCAAAAAAGGAAAACAAGTAAAGCAAATAAAGGTGATCTAGCTCTTAATGTAACCCCAATTTTAGTATTTTAATCCCTAGCAGAGTCGCCAGTTCTATAATACGGTGGGAGAACTGACTTGGATGTTTGCGTTTTATTGCAAATGTTGTGGATAGCAAGAGTCACCACCGACTTTTCTTTTATCCAATAAAGAAAAGGGTGAAAAGAACAGGAAAGACCTTTTGAGAATTTTTCTTGAGTTCAGGGGGTAGGTCATGAAAAGGGAAGGTATTAGCACCATTTTCATCCGTAGTTATCTACAGGCTCTAAATTGCTTGATCACTTTGAAATGCTTTGTGTTTGTGTATGTTTGAAAATGTTTGAAGATTTTTGAAGATGGTAATTTTGTAATGATTCTCGTATCGTTGAGAATATATACAAAATGTTTGTTTTTGGAAATATTTTGAAAACGCCTTAGTGCGGCAATTTTGCAATGATTCTCGTATCATTGAGAATGTATATAAAATATTTTTTTTGAAAATATTTGTTTGGAAAGAGAGTGTTTGAAAAGATGTTTGTTTTTGAAAGTGTGAGGTGTGAAAAATGGTTTTAGTTTATGAGCAAGCAATTACGAGCAATCTACCTACTCAAAAAGTCTTTGTTATTTTCCTCCTCCTTTAGATAGTGCTATTTTACCATTGGTTAGTAAGGAGTCATATCATTGGATGTGAGGGACAAACGTGGGTCATCGAATAGTCATAGAAGGCAACTTGTAGAATGTTTTAGCAATTTTAGTAAAGGACTAAGATCGTTTATCGAAGGCAACATCGAAGGGTCATGGAGGGACTACGATCTTTTTATCGAGGGTCTTTTGCTAAAACATCCCACATTCGAGGGACATGACTGTTTATATCTGAGGCAACAAGTGAGGTTAACCCTAGAGTTGAATGTATGCAAAGTGTTTGATTTCAAGTATTTTATCTTTGAATTAGGGTTTTGCTAGGGTTGATTTTAAGTCTTGTCATGCAAAATATAATTACTAACAATAATAAGGAAATTAATAAATTGTGGAATTTAAATGTCCTATGCTATTACAATGCTTTAGGAATGGGGGGTACAATTTTTGTGAATGAGGAAAGAAAACAATAAAGTCCTAATTATCTATTACAAACCATTGAACATGAATAATAATAAAATGCACAAAATGTAAAGATGAAGAAGAAGAAAAAGAAATTGTTTTTAGGGTTTTTTCATGGAGAAAAGATTTGATAATTTAACCTAATTAAACTAATTAATTTTAATTACAAGAGAAGTTTAATTAGCTTTTAAGAAATCCTAAAATCTAAGTTAGTTGAATTTAACATAATGAACCAAAGTCTAGACAATATGTTTAGAAAATAATTTGAATGTTAATGTTAATTTGGAAAAATATTTTAAAATATGAAAAATAAACAAAATCTAGTTCTAAATATTAACAAAAATAAAATAAATGTTTTAATTAAAATATTTTTTAATTTAATTATTTAAGAAAATATATCTTTTTGTATTTTTGATTAAATAAAAATAAATAAAGAAAGAAAATATAAAAAGTATAAAAAATAGTTGGGTCTAGGTGTTAGAAAGTAAAATTGGGGTTAAAAATCATTTTTGTCAGGTCGAATATGTTTTTGTTTTGAAATCAGAAAAAATAATAAAAATAAAAGAGACGTGGGCCTGAGCATGATATAACAAATGGGGGGGTTGTATGAAAGAAAATCAGTTAAGGCCCAGAATGAAAGGTTTAGCGCATGTTGATCATATGGGGATGGCCTTTTGAGGTGCATCATGGTCATGCGTCTGAATGCGCTTGATTTGATTGCCTGGCAGATCTGATGATGTAGATAAGAGGCTCATGATAGGTGCACATGGTTGGCTTGTATTGAATATGCAAGGAAATAATATGAAAAAACCAAAAGGGTACCACTGGGGCTCGAACCCAGGTCCCTAGTAACAAATGCCTTAGCGCGCGCTTCTCTGCCACTAGGGTGGCTGTTTCATCCGTTAATAATACAACTTCAACTAAATATAAAATAAACTTGTTTCTGAATTTTTAACTTCATCCTCTTCCTCCTTCCCGTGCACAGTAATAACACCATCATTTTTTATTTTTGGAACTTCCTCATTTCTCAACCAAATCAAGAAATGTAAACATGAAACTTGCTTGAAATTTCACCATGAATCCAACCATATAAGTGACTAAAGCTATAAATAAAAGATGAACATGAATTTTGTTTAGTACCAAATAAAACCTAATTTATTCAGAAAGTTCAACTTCAAAATTTGCATCACTCACACAACATAAATGAAAACTAAAGGCATGGTTAGCTTTAGGGCAATGATGCCTACATTTTTTATTCACAAGGTAACCATTAATGATGCTTGTATAAGGAGTTCAAAGTTGAGAAAACTTGCCTCAAAACTGGAAATCGTGTTTGGAGTTTGAGCACTTCTGGAGATGTTATGAAGATCTGAATAACTTCACTGAACTCCTAGGAAGCTATTGCAATGCTTACTTTGAGCGAAAGTGCCTGAATCTTTCTTGAGAAGTCAAGTTGCAGGTTTGAGTTTTTGGAAATTGAGGATGGTGCAAATGGTGTTACAGTTGTGTGGAAAGGATTTAGATAGCTTCTATATGAGTTATAAAAGCTTTGTGATTGATTAAAAGTGAAAACGAACGAGTGAATTGTGTATTTGAAGTTCAAGGTCAGAAATGACAAGTTATGGAGGTTTTGATGCAAATTCTGGTTTGAGAGAGTATGAGGGAGTTAGAGGGCTCTTGAACTCGTGTTTGGTTTTCCAAATAGTGTCTCTATTTATTGGGAAATGTTGGAGGGAAGGAGAACATCAGGTTTGTAAGTTATAAAGTTATGGCTAGGTGACTTAGTTTTTGAAGCAACATTGAGATAACCTTGTTTCAATGCATAGTACAAGCATGATCTGAAAATGGCTAGAGGCTTTAGACATGTTGCTTCTGGCTTTGAGATTGTGTATGCTCAGAAGAAACAAGTGCAAGGCTCAAAGAGAGTGGACTTTGTGATTAAAGCCACTTTTCCAAAATGGAAGTCTTAGCTTTCTTTCCTAAATGGCAAATCAACTTGGACAAAACTTGAATCACTTGGATAATGGCTCAAACAGTTGTGTAAACATTTAATTATTGAGTGATTTGCAAGTTTGAAGGCCTGCAAAACAAGATTATACATCATTCTTGAAGATTGGATCATAAGATTCATCACAAATTGACCTAAAATTCAAGTTTGTAATGCCATCTTCATCTCTTCGAAACTCCTAGCTCAAAAATGATCTCTTCAAGTTCTTTGACATTTTGGAAATCTTGAAACATTGTCTAAAACCTTCATGTTGACCACTTTGGCTAAATCAACTTGGAGCTTAGTGAAAAATTTCTAAGAAGTTGAGACAAAAATCTGACCAAACTTGCTAAAATTTTCACTAAGTGTATTGTAAAAATGTCATGACTTCATGAGCCTATATCTTCAAATCTAAGCATTTTTTGGACATCAACCCTCAAGGACAAAGTTGTAGAATTCATCAAGATCTACATCTTTCATATTGAAGTTTTTCCTTGAATCATCTTGCATCTTGGTGAAAAATTGTCATGAAATAGTGAATTTATCAAGGATAAAAACACTTAGAATTTTTCTAAGTATTAGAAATCTTGACTTTTGTTGACTTTTCTTTACTTTCTTGATTCTTGATGATCAAGTTTGATATTTTTGAAAGTCTTGGTGAATCTTGATCTTTGAAATTCAATATTGACCAAAAATTCAAAGTTTGACTTTTTGTGTATCAGTTGACTTTTCATCAGTTGATCAAATTTCAACTATCAATCCATTGATCTTGAGAAATGATTTGAGCCATTAAATTAGGTCAATATACCGTGTTCCAGTCCTTGAGATCATGCTTCAAGCCATTAGGTCATGTACTAGGTCAAAAGTCATTGATCAGTCATTCTCAGTCAAAATCCTAATTTTGACAATTTTGCACCTTTGATGATTTGAATGCTTTTCTTGAGGAATTATGACCAACCCTTAATCATTTGATGAATATGACTTCAAAATGTTGATGTTGGTCAAAAATCATGAAGTTTTACTGTATGTTGTCCACAGTTGACTTTTTATTAAATATAATTGATTTTCAGTCATCTGAGCAATTGACTGAGCAATTTTGAGATGCAAGACTTGAAACTTGGCATAAGCATTCTTGAAAACCTATAATGAACTATGAAATTCACTTGAGGTATTAAAAGTCCAACTTTCCTTGTGAAAATCAAAACCTTAATTTGTGATCTCAATGCTTAGGAAATAAACTTGTATGATCAACTCTTGAGCATCCTTGAACATTTGAGATCTTTTCTGAAGAATATCTTTAAAAAAAGAGAGAACAAATTTTAGAGTATATCACTAGGGAATCTACTTTATTAGTCCAACATCTCGAACAACATTATTCGCATATTATCCTATAATAGAGAGCCATTAAGCTAAATAATAACAATTTAAACAAAAGAAACATGTGCGTTTTGGTCACAACCAGGGTAAGGGGAGTGACGGTTGGACTTGACGAAGGTTGCGAGTTTCCTCTAGCGAGCGCCGTGGCCTGACCTCAACCTTCAGCGAGGAAATCTCTTTCTCCTTCAGTTAGCAGCGCCGCGATCAACAACACTTCCGCCGCTATTTGTTCGAATTTCGTTCAGATGCGTCTCCGTCCCACCGCGGCTCCATCTTCTCAACCTCGACGGCGGCTCCATCCTCGGCGTTCTCGATTACAACAAATCAGAGAGCTCTGGTGGCTTTCTACGGTGGTGAAGATGAGAAATCCAGGTAATATCGCAATTCCTTTTATCTTCTCCTATCTCATCTGCGAATCCGTGCTTTTTTTTTTGTATTTTTCGCTGATGTTGTTGATTTGTGTCGTTCTTGTTTCGAATTGTTGACGCAGAGATGAAAGATGTGAGCGTTATCGACGATGAAGATCGTGAATGATGATGATAGATGAGTATTGATGATATGGCGCTGATGAAGAGAGATGTCGAAGAAGTGGTGCAGAAGCGGTCATTATAGAAGAAGGTCGAAGATTGAAGACGCGATTGAAGAAGTTTGAAGGTTGTGAATTCGTTTTTGTTGAATTTTTTACGTTCTTGCGGATTGTTAGAAGATTAACATAATGCGGATTTGTTGTAGATTGAAGTTACAGAATGTTGATGTTGAAGATGAAGCGATAGAGATCGATTGTTACTACATCCTTGTTGTGATTGAAGCAAGTAGAGAGAAGAGTGCAAAGAAATTTTCTGTTGAAGCGCTGCAGATTTGCGAGATTTTCAGAGTCTTCTTCTTGGTGACTCTTCAATCAGATGAAGAATTGATGAAGATAATGGAAGAATGATGCTGAGAAAAGAGAGTGAAGAGAGAGTTTCTGAGGATTTTTGGTGAGATTTCAGAATGATCGTGATTTCAGAGAGAGATTGAGGAGCTTCTGTGATTCTTCCAATGATTGGAGAATGAAGAGATTGATGAGGTAATTTCTGTTTTATGGTTCAGTTAGATGTATGAAAAGTTTGTTACCTGAAAATGAATCAGCACTCTTGATTTGAATTTCTGTTAGGGATTTGGATGGCTAGGATTGAATCTAAAATGAGGCTTGGTTAGTAAGTTTTGCTGAGCTGTTATTTGTACTGATCTGCTAGAACTCTTTCTTCTGATTTTCTGTTATAATATGTTGAGCTGGAAATATCTGTTTTCTGATAATTACATGAGCTGTCAAATTCTGACTTAATTCTCTGATCTTTTCATGTTGATCTTTTTTCTATTATTTCCACATGTTGCTGATTTTATATTTCCTCTCAATTTCTGTTACGCAGTGAACCGATGAAACTGGGAAACTGGTTTTGTAGTTTATATTTTCTGGTTTTGGGTCTGTTTGGAACAGGGCATTGGGTCGCTGGTTTTGGAGTGAGCTATTATTGGAATCTTGCAGGTTCAGTGCACCTTTGTAACATTGGCAGTGTAGCATACATGGAGATAAGATGATCATGAAGGCAAGATGATGAAGATGGAACTTAGCGTAGGAAATGGCCCCTGTATTTTTTGTGAAACTTTGCATTTTGAAAACTAATGGGCATTGCTTCAATGTAATTGCAGGTCTGGTGAATTACTTGTGTTGTCAAAACAAGAACTCAAAGATCATGGGGTAATACGTCACAAAGCCCTACAAACCTCCATGTAAGTTTGAGCATCAATTTCCTCCTCTCTTTTAGCTATCTTCAATACTGAACAAAATTGATCATCCCCTTGAAGTATTCATGCTAAACATCTAATGTAACATCATGAAATTTGTTTTGTTGCAATTTGGTGCAGGTTGTGGGTCTGCTATAAATTTGGCATGATGCTGAAGCTACAGATGACGCAAAATAATCACTGTAGCAAAATTGCACATGGACTAACATACATTTGGATGAACCAAATTCTGAATTGGATGCTCTTTGAATGCATGTATTTTTCTGCCTCCTTTCAAGTTAACCATGCATTTGTTCTTCATTTTATCATTTAACTAATATCAAATACTACAAGCCTGGTGTAACAACTGGTGTAAGACTTGTAGCAAATTGATTTTTCAAAGCAAAGTAGCAAGTACTGGGGACTATTTATGCAGAGGTCAGTAGTAGGAAATGAAATGATGAAACTGTTTTGATATGGGTGGATTTATGTTTGAGCATGATCTGAAGATGTCGAGCCCATGGAGGAAACCTGGAAAAAGTAATATGAGGCAAGGAGTTAGGACCAGAAAATAGCAAGTCATGAAAGTTGATCCTTGGATGAAGGAATGAAGATGTAGAACATTAGAATAGGTTTAATTTTCCATGTGCATTTGATTTGTATTCTTTGTATATGAATGGTGTCTTGAATGTATTGAAAACTTGGATGAATTAATGGCCTATGAACATGTCTTGGTTAAGAATTGAGTGTAGTTGCTTGAAGTTTTGTGGATGTGATTTTGTAAACTTGAATGAAATCTTTGAATCACTTTGAATTTTGGATGATGAACTATGAGTGATGTTAAATTATGCAATAGAGAAAATGGCCATGATAGAATACAGTATTTGAACAATTTTGAAACAAGGTTCAAGGACAAACCCTTATTCCATTGAGTGATATTAACACAATGATCATATTTTGAGGATATATCTTGAGGATTTATTAAGTAGGGAAATAATCCCTTTCCATGCTCAAATATAAACTACACTTGAATCAAGCTCAAATAAAATGCCCAGCTTAAAACATACAGAAAACCCTAATCTTAACAAATATAGGGAAATAATCCTAATCCAAAACCTTGGTGAACTTGGAGAAGGATAACCTTGTAGCTTGATGTTCAGAAGAAGGGAAATAGCCTCGTATCTTGAAGAGAAAGGAATTCACAACAACCATGAATCACAATATTAATTTCACACTTCACAGCTTGAAGAAGAAAATAGAAGAAACAAGCTTTAATGGATATATACACCTCAACCATTCTAAAACTCTGATATTGCACAGTCACTGAACTTTGAATATCATGTACTTTATTGAATGAAATGCAGATGAAATGAGAAGCCTAAGCCATATATAAGCAAAATAAGAGGGAAAATTTTAGGGTGCAACACCTTGTTACCAATAGGCAATTCAAATATTTGAAGTGACCCAATAAGTTCAACAACTCTCATGTTGTTGATCTCACGAGCTTCTTCAATTGTTGTGAGATTCATGTCAAATCTCGTAGACAAGGACCTAAGAATCTTTCTTACCAGCTTTGCTTCTGACATCTTCTCTCCCAAGGCACTTGATGCATTAGCAATTTCAAGAATCTTCATATGATATTCCTGAATTGTCTCATGATCATTCATCTTCAAATTCTAGAATTTTAAAGTGAGAAGCTGGAGTCTTGAAATCTTCACTTTAGAGGTACTTTCATAAGTTGTCTTGAGAATTTCCTAAGCTTCCGTGGCTACAGTACAACTATTAATCAGCCTGAACACATTTTTGTCAACTCCATTGAAAAGAGAATTCAAAGCCTTGGAATTTCCAATGGCTTCTATATCATCATTTTCATTCCACTCGTTTTCATGTTTTATAGTTTCAGTTTCAATTTTTTCCCCATATTTGTCAATGTACATCACAACAGGATGCTTTCATCCTTTCAAAACAACCTTCCACACTTTGCTATCCATAGACTTCATAAAAGCTATAATTCTGACCTTCCACCAGTCATAGTTTGAACCATACAACATAGGTAGTTTGTTGTTGTATCCTCTTTTTTTATCCATAGTGCCAGAAAATATATCCCCGGATCTCACTCAATAATAAAACAGGGTGCATGCTCTTGATGCCAATTGAAATTCTGACACACACAATGTCAGATGTCAAGACTGATGTCTTAACAACACACAATGTCACAACAAATGTTACAAAATCTAATGACAGCAAATAGACTTGCTAAAAACAAAAAGATTGTGCAGGAAGATAAAGTACAAAAACTTCAAGAACACAAGAAATTATTAACCCAATTTGATACAAACTCACCTACTCTAAGGGCTATCAAGTCAGGAAGAAAGTCCACTGTCAATAGTGTCAATTCGAAGCTAAACAGTCCCAATTTACATTTCTCACTTAATCCCTACCCGATGCAACTTCTATCTAGGCATTTCCTACATATGAGAATCCCTCTCACTCCCAATCACCACAATGATATCAAACAATCTCAGTCCCAGGAAATGTCTCGAGAAACCAAAAAGGAATAACACACTTCCAAATTAAAATATTTAGTTTTCTAAAAAGCTTCACTAAGAACAATACTCAACTCTTGCTTAAAAGCTTCGAGGAGAACAATAACTTTATGAACAGGTAACAACCAGTCAACTCAATTGCATCAAAGATACATGAGGACGTACAAAAAACACACGGAGAATCTAAGGAACTATCAAACCCTAAAATTTTATTTTTCACAAGGTTTTACAATAAAAATTACGCTTAAAAACAAGGTCTTGGATGACTCGTTATATAGACTTCTGCAGTTGGGCTTAGACTCTTCAATCAAATATAATTTTCAGCTCTAAATCCCTACAGAATATTCTCCATGAAAATAGAAATAAAACAATCTTTCAAATATTTCCTAAAAAGTCTCAAAGATCATTTTTATGAAATAAATTAGATCTTCAATTATTCCTAACAATCCTTGATTGCCTGTGCCTGTTATGAGTACTAGAAACCTCTAGAATATCATATTTTTCAATCAAATCTTCAAGAATAAATACCTAGTTGTACTGTCATGATGTTCTATTGCAACATGTTGTAACATTTGATAGAACATCTATCAAATAAGTACATGCATACATTTTGGTACCAGCTGGTCAAGATGTTATGATATCTTGTTCAACATTAGGCTGCAATACATGTTTTTCCCAATGAAACATGTTTTGATAGGATTATTGTCAACTTCTTGTTTTATCAAAACTGTTGCGAACCATAAAATCACAAACCTAACAGATTTTTGGCAAGAAGGAAAAAATACACCTTTTGAAGATTGGAGAATCAAAGACTTTGGTCGAAGGCAAACTTTTATGAACGGAAGTGATTGAAGATTCAATTTAATCTTAATACATGTAATGTATAAATTTTGTATTTTATTTTTATTGAAAATTATGAGTAGCTAAACCCCTAATGCTAGGGGCGTCCCTGATTCGAATCTATAATAACTTTGAGTTTCTAATTGCAATGAAAGTGTTGTTTTTCATAATGAATTTATTCTCTTGATGTTTTTAATGCTTTCTCTTTCGGACAAATTTAGATTGGTGTATGATTAACACTTAGGCCAAACCTCCATTGATAATTCTTTCATGAGAATATTCTATAATAGATATCACCTAGGACTAGGGATACCCTATAGTAACCGAATTATTCTTGATTTAATAATGCTTGATTTAATCATGGATTTTCATGGACATAGGAATTAGGATGGATGATTAAAAGTTTTCTCACTAAGGACTTAGGAGTAGACACCCTTGAGAATCAGTAATTAATTGTTTAAAACATGTTATTGCAATGTTAATTCAAAGTTGTTACAGGAGTGAATCACACACCTTCCCTAGTATGTTACTCATATTTGTCAAAACCGCTTAACACATCTCTTTACTTTATTCTCAATTATTTTTATAAATTAGTAAATCAAATCCAAACGCTAGTTTTTTGTTAATTGAACGACAATTCAAACTCCATACTGATACATAGTCCTTGAGATTGACATTCAGAGAAATTTCCTTATTATTACTACAGAGGAAAAAATAATACACTTGCTATTTTACCGATCATAAGCCCTAGGATCCGAGGGAACCACAACTAAAGCAGACCCTTCTCCATGCTGCAACTTCTCCTTGAGCTTCCTAATCTCATCTTCAAATGCAGTCTTCATTCCAGCTTTCTCTTTCAAGACCTTGTCAACAAAACCTTTCCAAGGGCCTGACCTGACCTGAGTATCATAAAGCTCTTTGTTATGTTGAGACAATACGTTGTTGGACGAAAATAAATCCTCATGAACCCTCTTCCTTTTCTTTCCATGATGCTTGATACGTGGTTTTCACAAGTATACGAAATGCGGCAGAGTAATATAAAATATTATCGATCTCACAGAGATCAAACGTCAATCTATTGATTTCTGTTGTTACGATGTTTATCTAAGGTAAAATAATTCAAGGGTTTATGAGTGCACAATGTAAGTAAAGTATGAAAATATAAATTTAGATAAAAACAACAGGCTTGAATGTAATTTACACAGTCTGATAAAATTCCGATGCTTCTAAATGAAACTACTTATAGGGCAATATTTTCTACTCATGAAAATAACTAATTTAACAGGAACTGTCGCTTTCGCGTATTCAGAACCGAGTTTATTCTTTAATCAAACCCTCTTATTGTCACTTATAAAAAGGCGCGCATTGCGTTAAAGTAATAAACCTATTTTTAAGAAATATAGTTTCTTGACTTAGTTGAAAAGTAATTTTGACTTGGAACTTCTAACCAAAAGAGGACTAGACCTTTAAACCCGTAAACACGTCTGAAAAGAGTTTTGAA